CCCCTTGGCTCCTCAGGCTCCAGTCTTCCCAGCCCCCCCTTTCACTCACAAGCCCAAGGGCCAAGCCTTCTAAGAACCTAGCACAGACTCCGAGCCAGAGACCATAGCCTCTTCCTGCCTTGAGTGGCCTTACTTTCCAACCCCTGTGCTGAGTCTGGCAAGGTCAGAGGGCAGTCTGGTTCCTCCAAGCCCACTCCTCACTCCGTAGTTATGAACCCAGACCAGGTTTGAACCTTAACCTCTAAGGCCCCGGAGTCAGTGAGGCCCAAAGACCTGAAGAAGGGGATTGGTGCCCAGCACACAGCTGGTACTCACTAAGGGTCTTCCCGAGTGAATGACAGTCCCACCTCTAGCCTACATGTCCCTTCTTAATCTCTACTGAGTAGCGATGGGCTCCATTTCCTTCAGAAATTCAAGAATGGCTACCTGGCATTTCCCTCTTTGTTCAAAGGTCCCCTCCCCAACCTCCAGCAAGTTCTAACTCTCATCAGAACTCCCTTAAAGATTTTAAATTTTCAAAATGAAAGCACATACAACCCGTTCAAACCTTCACAGGTTTTTGATAATACTGCTTTTTGAACTGATAAACTGATCCAATGCCCATTTCTTTCTTTCTTTTTTAGATTTAAAAATATAGTTTAAGCCAGGCTTGGTGGCTCAGCCTGTAATCCCGTGCCTTTGGGAGGCTGAGGTGAGTGGATTGCCTGAGCCCGCGGGTTCGAGACCCGCCTGGGCAGGCGAGACCTCATCTCTACAATAAATCAAAAAATCAGTCGGGCATGGTAACGCATGCCTGTAATTCCGGCTACTTGGAAAGCTGAGGCGGAAGGATCGCCGAGCCCCAGCAGGTCGAGGCTGCGGTGGCTGGGAGCGGCCACTGCACTCTAGTCTGGGTGACAGAGTGAGACTCCAACTCGGAAAAAAAGAGAGAAAAAACAAAACAAAAAAAAATATATATATATAGTTTAAAAGTTAATTGGAGAGAGAAAGAAAAAGGAGAGAGAAGATTCACCTCCCCAAAGTGGGGGAGGGGGCCAAAGCCAGGAAGTATAGCAACGGCCATAGCCCAAAGAGCACATGGCTACACCAGAGTCTAGCAAGGCGATGGTCCCTATTTCTTTCCTTTTTTTTTGAGTTGATGTCTCACTCTGTCGCCCAAGCTATAGTGCAGTGGCATACTCACGGCCACCCTAGCGTACGTGGGCTCCGGCGATCTTTTTGCCTCAGCCTTCCAAATAGCCAGAACTATAGGCGCACGCTACCATGCCAGGCTGATTTTTGATTAATTGTAAAGATGAGGTCTCGCCAAGTTGCCCAGGCTGGTCTAGAACCCACGAGCTCAGGCAATCCACTTGTCTCAGCCTCCCAAAGTGCTGGGATTACAGGCTGAGCCACCATGCCCAGTCTGCCCATTTCTTTTACACCATGATCCTACCCAGCTGTCTCGGACGAGGCAGAGGGAAGAGGGTGCCAGTGCTTCTGCCTGCTTGCAGGCCGCCTGTGTACGAGGCAGGAGACCCTGAGCCCACTACTTCCAGAGACCTGGCTTCCCAGGCTAGCATAAGAGAAGGTATTAGAATCCCCGTGATCTGCTCCTCCTGATGGGCAGGCCCATGACATAGATCTTAGACTCTCTAGTAATCATCTTCTCTTGCAGAATAGTGCCCCGGGGAGGTTGAGGTTGTGGTGGGCAGAAGTGGCCCATCTGGGGCCTGAATATCATTCAGTGGGGAACATGGGGCTACATTTGCATTCTGGGGACAGCATCTTGGTGTTAAAGCTCCAGCTGTGGAGGTGAAGTCATCCCGCCTGAGGTTGAGACCACTGAGAATTGAGACTGGTAAGTGATGCCCTCAGCCACTGGGCATCCATGATGTTGGGCTTCTGTAACTTAAAGGCCCTGCCTTGATGCTGTCCCATCTTCATGTCTGGGGAGGTCCTGACTAATGGTGGGGGATCAAAGATCAACTCAGTCTAGGGGTCACAAGCCGCAGCACACCCCCCACTCCCAGGGCCCTCAGTTGTGAAATGGGACTTCAAAGGGCCCCTCTCTTTTCCTTCCTCTAGAATAGACTGACCCTGGCAGCAGCTTCCTGCACTGATTTTTTTCCCTCCGCGTATGAGTGTTGTATAGTGGTTCTTACAGTGTGGTCTTTGGACCAACAGCACTAACCTCACCTGGGAGCTTGTTAGAACTGCAAATTCTCTGCTCTAAGACCTACTGAATCAAACTCTGGAGGTCTGACCATGCTATCTATATTTTAACAAGTTCTCCAGAGGCTTCAGATGCATGCTTAAGTTTGAGAACTGTTGATGCAGTACATTACCTAAAAGCCCAAGTAAGACATTCATTTAGGTTTCTGATCCACACACACAGACCTGTCCAGGAACATGGGTTGCATCACAGAGAGTGTCTTCCCAAGGAAGATGGGCCACCTACCTCCAATGTTTCCATCATCTGGCCTGACAGTGCAGAGGCCAGAGGCCAGATGTGGAATCCATGGAATGCCTTTTCATGAGCATTTTTCTTCCAGAAGGTGAAGCAGGAGTTCAGATGGCTCCAGGCATTGCCATAGCAACTATACCTTCCTGAAGCTGTCATGGACTACGGGAGCAGGGAGTGAGCGATGCAGAAGAGAGAGCCCGCCAGTGGGTAAAGCACCACCAGCAGGTGAAGGGCTGGGAAAAAGTGGACCCGCAGGATGACAGGATCTGTGGACCAGGACTGGGGCAGCTCTTGTTTCCTCAAGACCCAGGGTGCACCTGGCACTCTCTAGGGGTCTTTAATGCTGCAAAACAGCACCCACCCAGGCTATGGTGTGGCAAGACAGTCTGCCTCACTGTAAATGTCTCTCAAAAGACTGCCTGCTAGGTTAATGAGGCTCCCAATTGGCCACAGGGCAATTAGGAAGGAAGTCCCTGCTCCAGGATGTCAGCTGTGTTCCAGGCAGTGTGGAGGAAAGGGTCCCAGTTTCAAACGTTGGGTATGGATCTGGGTCCTAAAGTGGATGCCCACGAGTCGTGAGGCATCTTGGAGGCCTAAGATAACAGTGGATGTTCTAGCTCTAAAGAACTCACACCACAACGGACTGCACCACATGCTGAACGCTGCATCAGAGCCCATCCCTGCGGCCCCTCTGTTCCACCTTCTACCTCCAGGCACTGGTCAGCAGTGAGAGGTCAGGATCTCAGCCCTCTCCCGTGGGTGAAGCGGTTAATGTGACTCCTTCATGAAGATAACCGCAGCCAAGAGAACCTGCTGTACGGTGACCAGTCCGGGAAGCCTGGCAACCTTGCCCCATGTACCTCAGCTGGCATCAGCAGTGGGCAGCTCTGGAGCCATTGGTGCTTTTAGCCTGATGGTTCCTTTGGCTCTTTCTGCTCTGGAAGAAATGAGTGGCTCACATGAGGGACTGGGAGTGAGATTCTGCCTTGTGCTCAGGGCACAGGTACAAGTGTGAGAAGACAGAACCACAGAACATTAATGTCATCTCCAAGACCTGTCCTCCTCCTCATACCTAATCTCACCATTGGCAGAACTTTCCATATGGTTACACTCTTCCTTGGCCCCCTCTGGCCCTCCAGGCAAGCAGGGATCCTAGTTTCTGAGTGTGTAGGAGTCTCCCTTTTCCCGGGCCCCTGCTGGCTTTCCAGGCCCTCAGCTCAACTGCCTGGTCACGTGTGGGCTGAGGCAGCCTCAAACAAGGCAGGGCTCTCTCCCGAGGCTCCAGGGTAAGAGCTCTTTTTCACACCTGAGCAGAAACCAGCTCTTTGCCTCCCATTTTGCTTCTTGCCCTCACACAGCAGGAGCCCTCCAAGTTGCACCTGCCCCTCAGACGCAGCACTTAGGACCCTCAGGGCGCGGGTACTTCCACACCACCAGCCCTGACCTCCTTTAGAACTGGAGGTGATGGGGGGAGAAGAGACAGGTGCAGAGGGAAGCACGGAGTTAGTATCCATCCCGTTTGTTTCACCCTGACTGCCCCCTTCCCAGGTTTCCATGGGACTCCATGCGCCGCCAGGAGCTGAGTCCTCTGCGGTGCATGGACCCCCTCAAAGCGACGGGCAGGGGTCTGCAGAGGTGGGTAGAGGATGCCGGAAAGCCAGCTGTGGGGCCTCTCGCTTCATTCCAGTCGCTGCCCTTTATAAATATTTATAGCAGTTTTTCTACTAAAAATAACATCCTGGAGCCCAAGGAGGAGAAAAAAATAAATGAAAATCACCGGGACTTGCACTTGATCACGTGTGCCGGAGCCAAATGGAACCCTGAGGGGAGACGCCGCACTAACCGCGCCACAGGGCGGCGCGCCCCCTGGCGGCCACGGGTCAGCGCGCACGGCCGTCGGCCCCAGCTCCGCGTAGAGAACGCCCTCTCCCCCGGAGGGATCCGGGCGGCTGCTGCAACGCAGAGCTCTCTCCCCTCCTTCCTAGGCTGCAAAGCGGCAGCAGCACGCGGGGCGGGCGGAAGCCTAACCAGTGTGAGGCTATTTTTAGCACTGTGGCCGGGGTGCACTATCTACAAAACTAAGCAAGGCCCACACTTTGCAGGATAGAAGAAACCTGTTGGTTATTTTTTTTTTTTTGAGTTGGAGTCTCACTCTGTCGCCCAGACTGGAGTGCAGTGGCCGCTCCTGGTCACCACAGCCTCGACCTGCTGGGCTCCGGTGATCCTTCCGCCTCAGCCTTCCAAGTAGCTGGTACTAAGGCCGGCTAATTTTTTTGATTTATTGTAGAGATGAGGTCTCGCCAAGTTGCCCAGCCAGGTCTCGAACCTGCGGGCTCAGGCAATCCAGTCATCTCAGCCTCCCAAAGCGCGGGATTACAGGCTGAGCCACCGAGCCCGGCAGAACCTGTTGTTTTTAAAGGTCAAAGGTAAGGTGGAAACGTGCCCCCAAGCTAGGGAGCGTCCCACGTGCTGGCCAGAGGCCAGAAGAGATCCATCAGGACACACACACACACACACACACACACACACACACACACACACACACACACACAGAAGAGCTTAGTGCATTTTCTTTTCTCTTTTCAGCCTCTCGGTAAATTCCTGATGCAGAGATGAGACCATGCCCTGAGGGGAGTAATGAAGATGCTAGTACATGCAGGGCTATGCAGGGGAAGGCCCACCAGCTGCGCCTCACAGTCCCTCCCGGCTTCCCACCAGCTCTGGTTCCGCTCTCCCTGGAGGGTGGAGTGACGTCTGGCAGCCTGCGAGCCCGGTCCAGGTGTGCAGCGGAAAGATGGACAGGAATGTGCCTCTGGGGGAAGACCTTGCCTTCGTTGTGTCGGTGCCAGCTTGCGCCGCGTCCTCTGTGCCTGTGCAAGACAGACTCACCATTAGTCACGGGCACTGCTGTGGGTTCAGAGCAAGCGCTGCTAACATCTGCTGTGGACGAGGATCTGCAGGGAGGGGGCTACTGAGAACATGGGGGTAAAGGGTGGTACCCAGGGTCTTCTGTAGTCACTGCTTAGGTCAGGGTCAGGAAACATTTCCACAGACGAAAGAATGAGCTGGGTTCATAACGCAAGGTTTGGAACATGGTCGTTTGTTGGGGAGAACTGTGGCCCAGGAAGGGCAAAGAGGACTCAGATGTGCCTGCACATACTGAGAGGAAGGAAGCCTAGCCTCAGATTAGAAGAGAGCAGAATCGGGGAGTCCACAGAGCCGAGGCATCTGAGTTGTCAAGCTCTCCATCTGACTGTTGGTGAGTTTCTTGCACGGCCTGATGGGTCAAAGAGGACAGGCTCAGGAGGCAGAAGACCGGCTGTGACTCTAGTTCTACCACCGAGCTTCTGGGGACAGGGACTCGGTTTCTCATGTGCACCAAGAGGGGTGGGCCAGACGGCTCCAACACTTTCCCTGATACCCCATTCCTCTCTGCCCTGGGGAGAGGGGCTCTGGCAGGCTCCTGCAGGGCGAGTTGGTTCCTGATTTCCCCCGTTGGCTGCAGTGGCCTAGGCTTGCTGTGGGGAGGGGCCTTGACTGAATGTGCAGTCTAGGGAGAAGTCTCTCTCCAAGCCCCCAGGCTCTGTGATTGCCAGGGTGGTGCCCACCCCACAGCTTGCACAATTCCGAGTCAGCGCAGGTTGAGGCTGCAGGGGAGGGCCCGGGTGGGAGCACACAGAACCCTGCAAGGGCCTGGCACAGATGGGGGAGGGTTGGGAAAAGGCCCGAAAGGCTGTTCTGGGATGACACTTGGAAGGGTCTGAAAAAGTTCCTCTTCTGGATCAGAAGGCCGTGGCTCTGAAGAGCAAGCCTAATTAAAAAAAATAAGCAGTGGAGGAAGGAAGGAAAGAAAAGATTTAAAAATGGAGATAAGTCTCATGGCTGCACAGAAGGAATCTACCCTTGAAGGAACTCTCCTGAACTGACTGGCTGTCCAGTTACTTTGGTCCCTTCCTCTTAGGGAGCATACTCAGATGCTGTGATGTCTCGGAGCTGGGACTAGGAAGAGTTAAGGATTCAGATGGTAAATGGGAATGACTCATTCCTGAAGGTGATGGGCATCTGCCCGTGCTGTGCTTTTATCCATTTGTTCTTCAGGAAGTGAGAAGCTGCCGCTTGCCCAGGCACCACGGGAAGTGGCGTGGCCAGCTCTGTAGTCAGTGTGATGCATGACTCACATGTCTGTGGGTCAGGGACGATGGGGTATGGCACTGGGGGACAGAATCCAAGGGTGCACTGGCTGTGATCTGGATCCCCGGAAGGAAGTGGGCGGTGGCTGGGGAAAAGGAGCCCGGGAGGCAGGGCAGTCCAGGGAGGTGGTTGCCATCAGTGGGGTCTGGTTCCGCCTCACCAGGACCTGTTTCTGCCAGCACTGTCGGGTCTGTCAACATCATCCCCACACAAATGACACCAGACCATGCCTGAGGACTGGGCCCACAGATGGTGCAGAGTGTGACGGGCCACTACCTGGAAACAGGGCAAAGTGGGCACGCCAGGGGCTGGGCAGAGGTAAAGGTACAGCTGGGCTCTTTGAAGAAAATCCTAATTGCATCTCCACTATGAGGACTGCTCTGGCTTGGGACCTGTGACTTGAGAAAGGGAAGGGGAAATGAAACTGCCAAGAGAGGAGAGAGGGCCGTGGGGACGGGCAGAGGACACATCCTGTACTCACCCAGGCTTCCTCTTTGTCCAGCTCCTGTTAACCTGTGGCAGCACGGGCAGAAACAATACACTGAGGTCACACCAGGGTCTTCTCACCCCCCTGGACCTTCTCAGGGGCTTTTCCTGACCGCCCACCCTAGGGGCTTCCTTGCCTCTCCCTGTTACTTGTATGCTGACTTGTCCCGATCAGGTATGATAACGGGGTAGAGACATACTGTTCACAACTGTAACTGCAACCGACATGAAGCAGTCATGGACCCCACAGACACTTCTCAAGAGAAGGAAAATAATAATAAAATGGAAACAAAGTCCCCTTAGAGCTAGGGAGCAGTTACACCTGGGAGGAGCAAAGCCCATCTAGTTCTGAGAGCCAGCCAAGGGAAAGTGACGGAGGCTTGATGAGGGCAGGCCTGCTTGCTGCAGATGTGTCTGCTTTGGAATGCCAAGTCATGTCATGTTCACCTGTGGAACCCCTGGACCCTCCGGAGCCTGTGTTTAGCCTCAGAGGGCCACTGCTGCCCAGACATGCCCCAGAGCTCTTAAGTGGACAACCTGGATTTACGTCCCCAACATTGGATGGCAGGCTCTGGGAGAGGAGAATCTGAAGGACACAGGAGCATGAACGAGGCTCTGGAGCAGCCATGACAACGTCATGGCTCTGAGGTGACGGGGAGAAGTTGTGTTAGTCTCTGCCTCATCCATGCAATCTTGGATACACTTGGTGAGGAGACACAAGGTAGGAAGAGCACTCCAAGGGAGCAGAGGCATTCCCCAGAATGCAGCCAGAGATCCAGGGACGAACAGGGAGATGCATGAGATGGGGTGAATGCAGTGGGGAAATGGGGCTTGTCAGATTTCTCCAACAGTGCCCATTTGGCTCTCAGAGTTCTCGTACTAAGCAGACTGTTTGCCTGACTGGGTGCTGACCAAGTTGTGTATACCTTACGTCAGCACGATTTCAACCCCATAGAAGCAAGTATTCTCTCTCTTTATGGTTGATAGTTATTGCTCTCTAATGTCCAGGTAGTTAGTGCTGGGTCTATAGTAAGATTTCACGCCTAGATCATGGCAGGGAATCAGAAGGTCCACCCACAAAACACTTAGTCATTTACAGTATCGCCCACATCAGGGCTATATGGTAGCTTTAGGGACATATCCTAGGACCTACATAATGTTGAGAGCCAAACATTAAAAAAAAAAACTCTACCATCTCTCACCCCAACTCTTAACACTCTTGCCCTTAAGAATGACACCCAAAAGTCACAGAAATAAAAATTCAGACATTCTTACAAAAAGATTTCATACAGACATATAGAAACTCTGGTATATGCACTGAAAGAGAGATGGGAGATCTAAGATCAAGAGGCATAGAAAGAGATGCTGAAGGCAACACAGGCACACAGACAGGGCACCCTGAAGCCAGGAGGTACCGAGCAAGGGACACCACATCCAATTCATGTGTGCAATGCAGGCCACATTCAGACTGGAACCAGGACTAAGAGCTGGAGTCCTGAGTCAGGGCCAGGCCTAAGTGGCTGGGACAGAGCCCTAGGTTTGCTTTGGGGGCTGGAGAGAGACTGTGGAGATGCCATGAGAAAAGCTATGGGAAGGGAGCCCAAAGCAGAAGCAGTGATGTCTTTAGCCAGGAATATTCCACATGAATGCTGGGATGTGGCTGGTGTGTACGTGTGTGTGTCTGGGACATGTGTTTGAAGCATGTGTTTATATAAGTGTAAATTTTTCTCCATGTATCTCTCCACCTCTTGCCCTCCCCCTCCTACCTTCTTTCCTATCCACGTGGGGAAGCCAGTCTCTACGTGTCTATGTAGCTTCTTCTGAATGTTTAAAGTACTGGTGCTCTGTAGTCTGACCTTCTGATGTCCATGCCAAATATGTCATTCTCATCAATTCCTCAGAGCTACTGTCCACTTTCTCCCAGGCTTAGATCTGACTCATGAGATATCAACACTGGCAGAATGTTTTTCCTGTCTCCCATTCTCTTCCTCAGCAATGTCAATTCCTTGCTGCCTGAGACTACAAAGACCTTCCTCTCTTATCCACACTAGCTCCTACAGACCGGCTCCAGACTCACCGTCCCAAGGGACTTCTTTCCAGTCACAGCTTCCCGACGTGTGTCTCCTGCTGGACTTCTTTCTGCCCTTCCCAAAGACTTTTCCACTTCACTTAGTCTACCAGTTCTGCTCGGACTAAAGCATGGGCGTTGGGGTTACCTGGGTCAAATCCAGGTTCTTTCACACCCTGAGCCCTGTCTAGAATGCTTTCCCTGGGGGGCTGTGAAATCAAATGAGGAAGAAGTGCTGTGTGTGAGCATGCAGGAGGCATCTGCAAGGGCTAGTGCGGGCTCCTCTTTCCTGCCTTTGCCTCCTCAGGGTAACAGTGACAGCCACTCCCTTTCTTTCTCGGATAAGTTACTCTCCATCACATCATCCTGTTTATTTCAATTTGTTCATTTATTGACATCCCACTAAGTGTCAGGCACAGTCCTAGGCAATAGGAATACAACATGAACAAAATAAACTAAGATCTCTACCTTGGGGAGCTGACATTTTGGAGAAATCGAGCAACAGACACATGAACACATGATAGAAATAGTAGCTAACTCTAAATGTCCAAAGAGAACTTTGTTTCTGCTCAGTATAACACCGATGGATAAGGGTTAAGAGCATGAAGTCTGGAGTTAGACCCAGTTCAAGCCCAGTGTCTGCCACTCAATACTACATGAACAACATCTCCCTGAGCCTATTTCCTCAAGGGTAAAATGGGGCTATTTTGACATATCTCATGGTGTTGAGGATGAGATGAGATCACACAGGAAAATCATCTGTTGTAGCACTTCTCAGGTGACACGTGTGAAACAGGGCTCATATATAATGAAGCCAGAGAGGCACTAATGTCCTTGCTGACACCATGAAGCCATGAAACCATCTGACTCTCCTAGGCCACAATAATCTCTTCCTTTTCAGAAACACTTATTACACTTATAATCATATGCTCAAAGTTTGGTGATTGATGTTTTATGCCACTTCATTTTGTCTATTTATTTTGCATAAATCAGTCTGCTTTCATAACTAGATTATAAACTCCTTGAGGCAAGGGGGCATGTTTTGTGTTTTCCTTTGTCTGTACTTCCTGTGTTCCAGCCATCCATCACAGTACCAGGAAATCAGGAAGCTTCTGTTGATGACTGACTTTACCACCCGTAGGGTAAGACTTGACTGTCAGATGGGAAAAGTAGATAGAAGGAACTGTTTGGGGGGGTTCTGAAAGCTTTGGGACAGGTGGTGGCAGGAAGGAATGTAGAAACAAGGGAAGGGAGGCTCCATTCATGGGCTACACGGCTCTGGCTCCCCATTCGAACTAGAGGTCCTGATGAGCTTCCTTTACCTCTGTCTTTCCCATTCTGCATCTTCTCTTCTTCTTCCTCTGCACCTTCCTCTGCTGTGAAAACAAGTTCAAGGCCAGTGACCCTTCAGCACAGTACAAGTATAGAAGGAGGATGAATGGAGCAACTTCTGGGGCTTGGGATAAACCCAGCTAAAGGCTCATGGCTGCGGCCTCCAAGGGTACTTAAATTCACCCAGTCTGTGTGGTCCACGCCCCAGCACTGTTGAATAGGAGCCCATACACCCAGAGCCCACAAGGAGCAGTGCAGTCTGATGTCACCCATCCTGCTGCTAGCTTTCCTGGCTTCTGGGGTGGGGGCACCTGCTCTTGCTCTATGATTGTCTTCCCTCAGTTGATGACACCTATCAGGGATACATCTAATATCTTGCATTCAGGTTCAAGGAGCAACCATAAAAGTACACAGTGGGAGAATATCTAGATTAACATTAACATTGGCTTCTGTTAAAAAAAAAATCCCGGCCAGGCTCAGTGGCTCAGCCTGTAATCCCACACCTTTGGGAGGCTGAGGTGAGTGGACTGCCTGAACCCGCGGGTTCGAGACCCACCTGAGCAACTTGGCTTCATCTCTACAATAAATCCAAAATCAGCCGGGCGTGGTAGTGCGTGCCTGTAGTTCCAAGCTACTCGGAAGGCTGAGGCGGAAGGATCGCCGGAGCCCAGCAGGTCGAGGCTGTGGTGGCCGAGAGCGGCCACTGCACTCCAGTCTGGGCGACAGAGTGAGACTCCAACTCAAAAAAAAAAAAAAAGAAAGCTGGGCTCGGTGGCTCAGCCTGTAATCCCAGCAACTTGGGAGGTTGAGGCGAGTGGATTGCCTGAGCCCGCGGGTTTGAGACCTACCTGGACAACTTGGGGAGACCTCATCTCTACAATAAATCAAAAATTAGCCAGGCGTGGTAGTACGCGCCTGTAGTTCCAGCTACTTGGAAGGCTGAGGCGGAAGGATCGCCGGAACCCAGCAGGTCAAGGCTGCGGTAGCTGGGAGCGGCCACTGCACTCCAGTCTGGGCGACGGAGTGAGAGACTCCAACTCAAAAAAAGAAAAAAAAAATCCCATGTTTCAGTTGACGGCAAATTTAAACTGACCACACAGTGCAAAGTAGCTGTGTGGGAAAAGCTGCCAGAGAGCAGCATGCTCAGCCCTGGGCACTCACTTTGAAGTGGGGCCTTGGAAAATCGGGCCATGTCCTGCTGTGGTCAAGCAGGATGGTAAAGTGAACAACATGTCATATTTGGAAGGGCTAAAGGAACTGGGCACAGTCGCCTCAAGAAGAGAAGACTAGGAAGAGGCATGTGTTGAAGGCCAATTTGCAGAGGACGGACTGAACTTAATCTGGGAAGCCTGAAAAGGGGGAAGAAGAATGAAGAATAAGTTACAGTAAGGCAGATTTTGGCTCCCCAATGAGGAAGAACTTTCCAGTGATTACAGCTGGTCATGAATGAGCTCACTGGAAAAATTCAAGGACTGGATGGTTATGCAGGGTGGAAAATTGGATTAAATGACTTCTAAGATCCTTTCCAATTCTAGAATTCCATTAATTGTGAAAATTTTTTTTGAAAGATGAATACAAGCTATAGATATGTAGTATGTACATACTATATAGAACATATGTAAAGATAATCTGAATATCTACTCTCATCCTAACAAAAACCTGTGAAGTCACTATCAAGGAGACAGTAAAAATGTGCTGGTGTTGGGCAAGGCTCTTCCATTCGTGAGAAACTGGTACCCTCACATGGAAAGGAATACTTACAGTCCATGTTTACCTCCAGGCCTCTGTACTTGGGAGTAGAGCATCAGGGAAAGGGGCCCTCATGGTACTCTGGGTTTGATGTCTTGTCTCGGGGTAAGAGCATTGGCTTAATCTGCTAAGACCCAAGTTCTAAGACCAGTTTTGCCGCTTCAGGCAGCATTTAGGCAGACCACTTTTCTGATAATCACTCCCTACGATTCTAAAGTAAGGGAACTAGACAGTGTGATCTCTAAGGCACCTTCCAAATTATACAACGTGATTTTGTTAAAAGCATCCTTTCCTACTATGAGAGATTGCTGATATTCCCATAAATTTTTAATTTTTGTGGAGCTCTTTGGTCCCTATATGCTTTATGTTTAATGATGTCCATCATCCTAGTGTGATGAGCTCACGGGTCACTTAGTTTACATAAACTTGAATATGTGGTCATGTAGCACAAGTGTAATTTTCATGGCCTGAAATTCCCCAAAGAAATTCCCACTAAAAGTGGCGTCTGTGGGGGGCTATATTAGGGAAGGGGTCTTCTAATCACCTGTGAAGTCATCCCCGAAGGCCACTGCTTCTTCTGTTTATGTGTGTGTCTATGGAAGGGGCGGTGCTTCTAACAGGGGTTGAGAAACAGTCCCAGAATGGAGGGAGGGGACCAGAAAATTACCGGTGCAACAGAATCAGCATCTGAACTGAATGAGGAAACCAACCTGGGTCACACACCTATTCTAAATGAAAACAGGCAGACTTGAAAGCAGAGCTGGGGGCCAGACCTTGGGCTGGGCCTCCAACAACCCTAAAGGTGTACACTTTCCCCTGTGAAGGTCTGAGGAGGCACCCAAGACTCGCCATCCCTAGGAGGGTTTGAATAATTGTATGTGTTTGCATAGTCCATGGAAAAACGGTTTCATATTTTAATTTAATAACCCTATTAAGCTACTTCAAGGCATTTCAAAGTACTGCAGTAGGTGAAAAGAAATAAAAGAGGGCCATTAGTATGAATGATCTACAGCGCTTAGGAAGGCAAGTCACTTGTTTAATATATGACATAGAAATCCCACCACTGTAAAATAATTAGTAAATATCTGGCATCTGTGTAACTGATGGACTCATGGGGATGCTTGGAGCTATGATAATGTGTGAATGGCCTTTTACCTTCTCTTCTTCCTGGGTTTTATGTAAGGTGAAATGTCATGAAGTAAAGGTCTCTGGGAAGTCACTGAAAGAGCCAAGTGATGGAGACACAGAAAGAAGTCACAGATGAGGCTGAACACGAGGAGTGGAGGAAGCAACAGACTCAGGTCATGAACTTCAAGTGAAATCAGAGCCTGGTCACGGACAAAAGGAGGGAATAGGGTTTCAAAACCAAATCAAATAGGGGAGAGCAGAAAGGCAGCTGGGAGGAAGTCCAGAGCTTTTGTGGCCGATTCGGTTCCAGACCTCCAGGAAAGCTTCAAAATGAGATGGTCGGTCAGGCCTAGGGAGAGAGCAGCTGCGGACAAAGCACAGATGGAAGACAAATCAAGTGAGGAAGGGCCCAAATGCACTGAAAGGTCTGAATGGCTTTAAACTCAGAACTGTGTTTGCTCCACAAGATGCATTCCTAAGATAAGCCTGAGCGTGAGATCATCTCTGTGGGCCCCGTGGGGGAGAGAGGCCCTCCAGTGGAGACATCCAGCGTGTTCCTAGAAGGCAAAAGTCGAGTGGCGAAGTGCGGTGGTGTGGACTAGGGGGGACACTCTAGCAGTGCTGGTGAGGAAGTGAGAAGGGTGTGTGCGTGGGGGCATGTGGGGCCGGGTGGGAGCTCTGGGCTTCACCTGAATGGAGCTCCTTCACCAGGGAGGACATGGTGTTGGTGATGGAGTCAGCAGCCACCAGCAGGTCATTGCGGAGGTTTCTCCTCGTACCTGAGGAGAGTCAGAGCAGATGGCGATGCCAGGGTGGGTAGGCATGGAGAAGAGACAGCCGAGTAAGCGCCTCCGTGCTGCCAGGCCCGTGGACACAGGTGCAGAACACCGAAGGGGAGCTGGGCCACAGCAGCTCTACCTGCCCAGGGCATTCAGGAACATGAGGCACCAAGTCCACTGTTCCCACGCCCTCCGCCTGCTCTGGCTGGAGAGCAGGATCCTGTCAGTCCTGTGCTTCATGGCCACCACACAATCAAGAGCTGGATTCCAGAACAAGCATTCCACAGAGGTATTCCTCAGTCCTAGGTGGACTTCACTCCCCGACAGCACCACCTCTCCCCCTCCTCATCCCCAGCCCCAGCAAGACTTCCTTCTTAACTCCCACCCAACTATGTAATATTGCTGGTCACTAGCTCCTCAGACAACTGTGGCAACTCCATGCCTACAGTGCTTTCAGCAAGTTCTTACTTAAGACTATCAGTCGGCCATACTCGGTGGCTCAGCTTGTAATCCCAGCATTTTGGGAGGCTGAGGAAAGTGGATTGCCTGAGCCAGCGGGTTTGCGACCAGCCCAGGCAACTTGGTGAGACCTTGTCTCTACAATAAATAAAAAATTAGCTGGGCGTGGCAGTTCCAGCTACTTGGAAGGCTGAGGTGGAAGGATCACTGGAGTGGCCATGAGCGTGCTGCTGTACTCCAGCCTGGACCATGGAGACTACAACTCAAAAAAAGACTACCACTCTTCCTTCTTTTCCTTGCTCTAGGCCAAGTACTTGACGTTGGGAATTATTCCGTCCAAATCCTCTGCAGGAGGCAAAGCCCCAAATACAAGGCACTTCACCCAACCCCCAAAAGAGCACAGAACCCCAGGGGTCTGTTCTCGGCACATGGACGAAGCCTGTAGACCTCCCACTGAAGACCAGCCTGTCTAATGAGACGAGGCCAGCACTTGATTTTTTATGCTGTCTATGAAAAACTGATCATTTAAAGCTAAAAGCACAAAAGAGAAGAAACTGGAGACATCTCAACAGGACTCTCGTCCTCATTTCCAAACCCTTTCAGCTCTATCGTGCTCTGCTCCAGAAGCTTACCTTGGGCAAAGGCCTCTTGCACGTCTTCCCCAACTCCGCTCAGTGAGTCCTGCGGACAGTGGGTGGGGGTGGAGCCAGCAGACGTGGAGCGGACAGGCATGGGCATTGGGCGGCTGCCTCCATGCGTGGGCGATGTATGTGGTGACCCTGTGGCCTGAGCCTAGAAGATTCAAAGACACAAAATATGTTACCTGAGGTATCTGACCTCTCTGAGGATGGGAGAAAGTCCTTTTTCTCAGTCAATCTGAGTCAGCCAACAGGCCTCAGTTCAGGGGTATGTGATCGTGATCATAGTTGAAAGGAAGGAGTCAGGCTGCCTCCAGAGGAAGAAAAGGAAAAAAGGAATGTGGGGGGAGAGGATGAGAATACCATAAGAACAGACCAAGAATGGGAGGGAAAGAAGAGGCTAGCAGTAGCTGGGTCAGGGGTCTAGGAGGGGGGATCTAGGATGGTTTGGCTCCCACAGGGAAGAAATAACACACAAACATCTTTCATTTTTATTTGTAAACACATCCATGTGCATATTTGCATCTGATCCCCCAACAACCCATGGGCTTAGAGAGGGCATGCATTTTTATTATAGAAGGAAAACAAGGATGAAAAGAGGAAGAGCGCTGTGTTGGGCCACACAGCTCGCCAGAGGGAGACATGGGAATCACTATCCGCTGCTGGTCCCACTCCATGTGCAGCGGACTATGTCCAAGAGCAGGTGTTGAGGCCCGGCTGCAGGCTGCTTCCAGGAGCAGGGCCATCAGATGCATGAGAAGGCTTTCCATGGGCCATCCCATGGAGACGCTGTGAGAATGGACACGTGTTAAATAAAAACCGAGCTTTCCTTTGAGGCCGTGGTATAGTATTAGAGGAAACTTGCAGCAGTGGGATAAAGTTAAAACAACAACAACAATAACAAAACAAGAAAATGAGTCAAGCGTAGCTCACTGAAGTTGTGGCTCTGCTGAACTTGAGAGCAAGGGGAACTGAGTGTGGCCGGTAGACTGGGGTGTTCTGTGGAAGCAACACTGGGAAAATACAAGCTAAAGTGTAAGAATGAGTTCATATGAAGATAACTGTCCTTCTGAAGATCTAGCTCAGAAACCCACAGAGAGAATCTGCCCGGAACAGGTGGACAAGCTATATCACAATGCCTTACTTCAGTGCTTCGACCCAATGGGTTGCCCTCTGTGGGTCTTACTCTGAATCATTTATCCGTATGTGTGCACGTTATGTATCTTGAGAAATTAAAAAACATAGGAAGCTAAAAAATATAACATAACTACCCCAAACTGATAATTGTTAATACTGTGTCAAATTTATTTCAACATAAAAATTTTGCAGATACATCTGAAGACCCCTTGACCACCAGTTCTTTCCTATCCCAGTTCCCATCCTTTTATCCCTTAAGAGGCAACGATTATCAATGATTTTGGTGTGAAACTTTTAACCTATGTGTGCATATATAACTATGAATAATAAATGATATTTCATGCTTCTAAATTTTGTATGGGTGGTATTGTACTGCACATGTCACTTTGTAATTTCCTTTTATCACTTAGCATACTTTGAGCTCTTTCCATGAAACAAGTAAATATGAACTTAGACCCTTATCTTTATATTACACATAAAAACTAAATCAAAAAGGGTCATAGCAACAATGAGAGCTAAAACTACAAAATTTCTCAAAGAAAACATAAGAAAAAAAATCTTTGTGACCTCAGTAGATATGATACCAAAATGATCATATGTAAAAGAAAAAAAACGAATAAACTGGCTTTTGTCAAAATGAAAAATGTTTGCTCTTTAAAAGAATCTTAAACAGGGCAACCCCCTCGGGTCCCCTCCCACTGTGGGAGCTTTTCTGTCCTCTCAATAAATCCTGCTTAAAAAAAAAAAAAAAAAAGACATCTTAAACAACATATGGACAAATAAATTAAATATGGGTAAGCAACCTAAACATAAGAGCCAAAACTATAAAATGGTTAGACGAAAACATAGGGGAAAAGTCTGTGACCTTGGATTAGGCAGTGACTTTTTAAATATGATGTCAAAAACCCAAGCTACAAAAAATAAACTAGGTAAATTGAACATCATCAAAAATAAAACTTGCAGCCAGGCTCAGTGGCTCAGCCTGTAATCCTGCGCCTTTGGGAGGCTGAGGTGAGTGGATTGCCTGAGCCTGTGGGTTCGAGACCCGCCTGGGCAGCGAGACCTCATCTCTACAATAAATCAAAAAATCAGCTGGACATGGTAGTGCATGCCTGTAATTCTGACTATTTGGAAGGCTGAGGCGGAAGGATCCCTGGAGCCCAGCAGGCGAGGCTGCGGTGGCCGGGAGTGGCCACTGCACTCCAGTCTGGGCGACCGAGTGAGACTCCAACTCAAAAAATAAATAAATAAATAAATAAATAAAACTTGCCTGGGCATGGTTGGTTCAAACCTGTAATCCCAGCACTTTGAGAGGCTGAGGTGAGAGGATTGCCTGAGCCCACGGGTTCGAAAACAGCCTGGGCACTTGGTGAGACCTCATCTCTACAATAAATAAAAAAATTTGCTGGGCATGGTAGTGTGTACCTATAGTTCCGGCTACTTGGAAGGTTGAGGAGGAAGGATTGCCTGAGCCCAGCAGGTCGACACTGGGGTGGCCCTGAGTGTGCCACTCCAACACACACAAAAAAAGTAAAACTTTTGTGCTTCTAAGAACACCATCAAGAAGGTGAAAAGAAGCCGGGCTCGGTGGCTCAGCCTGTAATCCCGTGCCTTTGGGAGGCTGAGGTGAGTGGATTGCCTGAGCCCATGGGTTCGAGACCCGCCTGGGCAACTTGGCGAGACCTCATCTCTACAATAAATCAAAAATCAGCCGGGTGTGGTCGCGCGTGCCTGTAATTCCGGCTACTCGGAAGGATCGCCGGAGCCCAGTGAGTCGAGGCTGCAATGGCTGGGAGTGGCCACTGCACTCCAGCCTGGGTGACAGAGGGAGACTCCAACTCAAAAAAAAAAAAAAAAAAAAGAAGGTGAAAAGACAACCCACAGAAAGGGAGAAGATTTGTGCAAATTATACATTTGATAAAGGATCTGTATCTAATATATATATATATTTTGTGTGTATATATACATATCTGATCTGTATCTAGAATATGTGTATAAAACTTTTTTTTTGAGTCACTCTGTCACCCAGGCTGGAGTGCGGTGTCATGGTCATGGATACTGCAGCCTTGATCTGCTGGGCTCAGTCGATCCTTCTATCTCAGCCTTCCAACTCACTGGAACTACAAGCATGCACCACACGCCTGGCTAATTTTTTGATTTATTGTAGAGATGAGGTCTTGCCAAGTTGCCCTGACTGGTCTCGAACCCATGGGTTCAGGCAATCCTCTCACCTCGGCCTCCCAAAGTGCTGGGATTATAGACGTGAGCCACTGTGCCTGACACTTTTTTTTAAGAGACAGAATTCACTACGTTGCTTAGGCTGGAGTGCAGTGATGTGATCATGGCTCACTAAAACCTTGAACTCCTGAGCTCAAGTGACCCTCCACCTCAGACTCCCAAGTAGCTAGGACTATAGGTTCACACCACCATGCCCAGCTAACTTAAAAAAATATATATTTTGTAGAGATGGGGTCTCACTATGTTGCACAGGCTGGTCTTGAACTCCTGGCCTCAAGTGATCTTCCCACCAGCCTCCCAAAGTGCTGGGAACTTTGTGAAGAACTCCTACAACTCAATAATAAAAGGACAAATAATGTAAGTTTGAAATGGGCAAAAGATCTGAAGAGACATTTCTTCAAAGAAAATATATAAATGTCCAGTAAGAGGCTCAAGCCTATAATCCCAGCACTCTGGGAGGCTGAGGTGAGAGGAATGCCTGAGCCCACAGGTTCAAGACCAACCTGGGCAACTTGGTGAGTCTTAATCTCTACAATAAATAAAAAAAAAATTAGCTGGGTGTGGTAGCGTGTGTGTGTAGTTCCAGCTACTTGGAAGGCTGAGGCAGAAGGCTTGCCGGAGCTCAGCAGATCAATGCTGAGGTGGCTGTGAGTGTGCTACTGCACTCTAGTCTGGGTGACGGAGTGGGACTCCAACTCAAAATAAAATAAAATAAAAGTCCAGTAAGCACATGAAGAGATGCTCAACATTATTAGACAGTAGAGAAATGTAAATCAAAACTACAATGAGACACCACTTTACACTCACAGGATGGCTACAATAAAAAGACACCACTTCACACTCAGAGGATGGCTACAATGAGACACCACTTCACACTCAGAGGATGGCTACAATAACAGTGCTGGCAAGGATGGGAGAAATTATTACACTTATATACTGCAGGTAGAAATGTAAAATGGTGTAGCTGCTTTGGACAGTCTGGCAGCCCCTCAAAAGGTTAAACATTGAATACCACGTGGCTCAGCAATTTCACTCCTAGGTACATAACTATGAGAACTGAAAACATATGTCTACACAAAAATCTGTGCCCAAATATTCATAACAGAATTTTCAACATAGCCTAAAAGTGGAAGCAACTCAAACATCCACCAACCGATGACTTAAATAAAATGTAGTATATTCATACAATGGAGTATTATTCAGCAATAAAAATAAATGAAGTACTCATGCACGTACAGCATGGATAAACCCTGAAAACATTTTGCTACATGAAAGATGTCAGTTATAATAGACTATATATTTTATGATTCCACTTATATAAAATGTCCAGAATTGGCAAATCCATAGAGAAAGTAGACAGGTGGTTGTCTGGGGTTGGTGCAAGGAGGCTTAGAAAACATAAGGAGTGACTACTAATGGGTTTCTTTTTGAGGGTGATGAAATGGTCTAGAATTAATTATGGTGATGGTTGCACAACTCTGTGAATATATTAAAACCACTGAATTTTCTGCTTTAAAATAGTTAATTATATGGTATGTTAATTAGGTCCATTATTTTATGTTAATAAAATGATTATTTAAAAAACATCATCAAGAAAAATAAAAAGGCTGGATGTGGTGGCCACACCTATAATCCTAGTACTTTGGGAGGCTGAGGCAGGAAGACTGCTTGAACCTAGGAGCTGGAGACCAGGGCTAAGCAACATAGTGAGATGTCATCTCTACAAAAAATAAAAAAATTAGGTAGGCATGGTGGTGCATGCCTGTAGTCTCAGC